CTGGGATTTTCTTTGTGGTGAAGGCGGGAATTTTTCATTGAAGGCAGGAATTTAGATTCTTAAAAATATTCGATAAAAAACAGGGATTGGTATGGCAATGTGTAATTTGTTGCTTGAGAAGAAATGAAAATGGAAAGATAATCCAAAAAAACCGATAATTTCATTACCCCCATTGCAGTAGTATTATACCATGCTTCAAATTGTGTGAGCATATACATATGCACATACACACATACAAAATCCCCAATCGTTTGAAAAAGAAGTATGAGCATGAAATTTTTTTGAAGTATGAGAGAGAAATTCTTTTAGGATATATAAAATAAACATCATAGCATGCAGAGTGTACTTATAAAAAACAAACATTTAGGAGTTTTGGTTTCTTACAATTATAAAATAAAAAATATGTGATAATTTTAAAATTGAAAATTAAAATAAATTTCTCCCATTTTCGCATTCTGTTAAGTACTATGCTAGCTATATGATATAAAAATATGCCTTTGTTGGAACATTTTGGGTAAAAAATTAACTGCTTAAGGGGTTAAAATATCTGTTACATAAGGTTTCCTATAATATCAACTACAACATTTTCAGTTAAAAGTTATTTTTTCATTTATTTATTGTACACTGATACTCTAACTCCCTTGTTGATTTGTATAGTTAAATCACAATAAAGAAAAACCATTAAGAATGAAATTGTTACTTAAATGAAGTTTTCAAATAGTAAGAGAAACATAGAAATATTTATCGATAGACATGAAAAACATTTAAATTATCTTATGTATTACTCATTAACTTAGCAATATGAGTTGTTTTATTTTAATCCATTTGTCCTTGAGGAGCTTTGAGAAAAGATGTGTTCTTAATCTTTATTGTTATGATAAATTACACGCGTTTCTTAATTGATTGATAATTTATTCATTCGCTTTTGTTTCAGAAATTTAAGAGTTTCATAATTTTATTTCAACGTGTTTGTTTTTGTTCTCTGTTACCGAGGGGAAAAAAATTTATGAGTATGTTCCAAAGAATGCACAACAATTTTGTTATTTCGTATGCGTTTCTTGTTATTTCAGAATAAAGAAAAAAAATGATGTTATTAACGAACATAACAAATTTAATGTACCATAAATATATACTGCATTTTAAAGAGAAACTATTAATCACACATTTATTAAAATCCCAAGTTCTGTATTCAAGACTAAATTATTTAAACTATAAAAGTTGATTATCAAGTAATCCAGATTTTATTTGAGTTAGTTTAAATAAGATTACATGAGATCATGAGTAAAAAGTTAATAATTAAGTAACATTTTGTATTCTCTGCTAAAGTTTGAAATTGAATAAAAAAAGAAAAACTTTTTTTAAAAATATTAAAATTTTTTTGGTACTTACGTATTATATATATATAACAACCATATTGGCGAAATTACGTAAAACGAAGCACATATGGTTGTCAATTCAGTGCGTACGACGCATGCTAAATCGGGGTTGCCAACTTGGCGAGTTATCGTAAGCATTGGCATTGTTGCGATAGTACAAAAGAACCAACATTTTACATTACCTTTTAAATACTCAATATTTTTAATTATTACCATTCTACACCTTTCCCAGAATCAACACAGTCACATTTTTTTTCACTTTATAACTAGGGAATAAAGAGTTTGTATGAATACATTTCTAGAAAAACAAAAATAAAAATTATTGCTTTTCTTTTACTACGAAAATTAAATGATATCGTAATTTTAAGATGTAAGCTTTGTTTAAAATTAGCCGTGATACAATGTAATAATTAAAACAATCAATAACGGAAATTTGATTCCATTATTTTTAGTAAATAATAATACAATTAGGCGAAAAATACAAAAAACAAATTTTGTCCGTATATTCAATGTAATAAATAGATTTTATCACAAAAAAGGAATAATTCAAAAAATAAAAGGCGAAAAGAGTGAAAATTAGAAAGAATAATAACAATTTTAGCGAGGTTTTTTTTTTTGTCTCTAATCATTTGAAACAAATTAACCAAGATACATATAAGACTAGTATCAAGACAACTGGATAAAAATAATAAATTAAATACAGTACCTAGTTTTAATTTTATTTTCATTTGTTAATTTGTGTTTTTGTAGAAATACAATTTGTGATAAAACGTCAAAAAATAGAATATGTATATATACATAAAAGAATGCCTAATTTGTTTTACATTAGTTGTATTTATATCAACTAAATTCTTTAAAAGAGATTTTATTTTTAAAGAAAAATTGCGAAATAGCAAACCTAAATTTATAGAAAACTGTGTTGTAGAAAATCATAAAACTTACGTATTTAATTGAAATAGCGTCTGAAAAAGGATGTTTCACGTAAAGGCGCTGGGTGAGTGAGTGAGTGAATATTAACGTCGCGCTGTTCAGCTACACGAGGGCTTTTGGCGACGGACCTCGCACTTTTGAACCATGGTCAAGTGACGAGGACGACACCTGAGCTAGCACCTCCGCTCCTAACTGCCACACCACACCAACGGGAGGACGTTTGAGCTTCCGACAGATTTAACATGCATCGCTCCCCTACAAGGCGGATCTTCAGTAGTACTGGACTCGAACTCATATTACACTAGCCACGATCCGATACCTTGACCACTAGTCTACCGCGGCATCGTTAAGGTGCTGGGAACTATAGTTGTATTAAGATTTAAACATTTTAATTAAAGATATTCTGGTATAGGAATTAAATGGGAAACTTTCTATATTAAATTATAGTTTTAAGAAAGAATATAGCATTTTAGTTGCCCATTTAACACATTTGGGTACATTTCCGTGCCTCTGGGGGAGGCGATAAAATCGCCAAAAATAATGCAACCGACGCCAAACAGAATATTCCCACTGATGACCTTTTACAATCACGTTTCAAAACTAGTCACAGTCTTTTCTTATTACTAACATCTTTTTCATAATACATAAAAAAATGGATGAAAAACCAATGAGAACTAACATTTATTTACATTTTTCTATGCGTATATTGTGTGCTGTCGCCAATAATCCTGCTTGTTTAAGAATTACACCGGTGAAGCGGAAAAGTACCCATTTTAAATCCAAATATCATTGATTTTAGCAAATCAAGAACCACAAATTCTAGCAATAATTAAATCGATTTTCAAATACAAAACAAGTCTCAAAAGGATTTCCTGTACATTTATTCTTCGTATTTAGTTAAAATACATGACTTAATCTATATGAAAAGCTGAATAGTTCATAAATAGCTAATGAACAATGGTTTAACAATTCGACAATAATGTAACCTGCAGTAGTTGTCCCTGGTATTTTTTTTACTTTGAAGTTTTTATCATCCGTTTCACGGTTGCAAGAAGCCAGCAAGAATTATGCAAATATAAAATATTTCGGTTTTAAATAAGGAAATCTTCAAGATAAAACGTGCCGACACTTAAAATTGTTAACGATTCCAACAAGGATACAGAAAATAGTTAAGAAAAGGAAAGGAAAGTGCGTTTTGCAATATTCTATTTTTGGACGCCATTGTTTCTTAAACTTCTTATAAATTAAATTCCTATCATATGCTACTACATACTCTTAGTTCTTCCTTTTTGTTACTTAATATGTTGATTCTAGATTTTCCTGTTTCGTCACTCATTTGTATGAAAAGTGAAAATAACATTTTTACTTTCTTTAAATAGTTGTATAATATATCATTCCTTTTATAAATGGTTAGCAGCAGCAGAAGTAAATTGTACTTCTTTAAAATAAGTTTTTATAAGCTAGTTAATTTTATGTCATTCACATGCCCATAAAATCATTAAGAAAATTTCAAATTTTGACAACAAAGAAAGGTTAATAATAAAGAATGAAATATAACGTATTTTAAAAACTACTTATTCGTGTTGTGAATTATCAAGTATGTTTAACTAATTAAGGTAAGCAATTCCCACTTTTCAAGCAATTTTTCTCTTTTTATGTTTATTTTACTCAACTTGAATGCAAGGTTTTATCTTCAAATGGTTACATCTAATTGGTTCTTGAAACATGTATGGAAATACTGAGCTTTGTTCGTACCTTTTATAACTGAAGTTAAAACAATAATAATGCGATGCATGTACCGAATAAAAATCTAAGTTTTAAATAAGTACAAATTAGTGAACTAAAACGAAAAGCGATTACATGATCATTAGAATCACACGAAAATTATTTTTTAAATATTTTATTCTTGCGGGAACTATTTTAAGGAAATTCATTATAACTTTTGTACTCAGTTGATAACATCATTTATACATTCAAAAAGTCATATTTTTAAAATTAAATTTTTCTCCCGATTTTGTTGGAATCAAAATCGATTTTGATTTGAAAATTATTCTGGACTCATCATACACTCTGCGAAAGCATTTCAAATCCTTTTCCCCCTCAATACAGCTTCATTTTTGATGTGTTCGGACGAGAAAATGCATCAAAATAACTTTTCTACTTTCTTGAATTTAAGTACACACAATTATTACAATGATTATCCTAATGGCGCCCAACGTGGGGCCATTGTGATAACATATGCATTTAAATAGTGCACCATTTGTGGCTTTCCTGAAAAATTTTGGACTATTTGAAATATTTATTTGTAAATTTGGCAATAAATTTTTGCTTTAACCAAGTTTGCAAATAAAAACTATTTAAAACAATTTTCTGTTTCTATTAAAGAATAATGCGACAAGCAGGTTTATAAAATTAAAGTATGTGGTCATCAATAGTAACTGAAAATTAATAATATAGACCTAACCATTGAAACCACATTAAAAAAATTTCACTGTTTAAATAACACAAGTAACATAAAAAAAGTTTAAGTCAATTTCTACTTAGAACAACAAAGGAAAATTTTATTTTATAGTTACTTATTATTAAATAGTTACAATTAATATAAATATATGTATATACATATGACAGAGATAAATTTAATTATTCTAATAAAATGGTATAGTAAGAAAGAAATCACATTCTCAGAAATCAGGCCATCCCAAGTGGAGTTCGAAACCATGACCTTCGGATTGGAAGTCCAACGCGCTATCCATTGTGCTACAGAGACGTAATGAGCGAGTTGCTATTGGACAAGTATTTTCGTTTGTTACTATCTATTGATTTTTTAATTTAATTAATTCATTAATATTTAAAGAAGTATATTAACATCAAGTGTCATTCCCTTCAAGTATAAAAAAATGTATTTCAACTTGAATTGTTGAATAGAAAGTATTTTATTAACGATTGAAAATTTTAACAAGATATATATATATATATATATATATATATATATATATATATAGATATATATATATATGAACTAATAGTAGAAATTATATAGGAGAGTAAAAATAGTAGAAATTGAAAAAAGTGCAACACATGATTATTATACGTGATTATTAGCATTAATATCTGATTATCATTAGATCTTGAAAGTATTTGTCGATCTTATAGGCAGGAAAATAGAACCATATCGGTGTTATACTCTTAACTTTGAATCTTGAAAGCAATTCTTTTCTGATATTTCCATGTAATATATTCCCATCTCAAGTTTTATATAGTATTTCATGTCCTAAGAATATTAAATAAGAAATTCAAATAAAGGTGAAATACTTTAAGCCGGCACATGCCGGTCAGGGCAAAACGACCTCATCCTTATGACACGAAAGGAAACAAGGTATTGTTTCGTTTCCTTAGAATCCTTGAGAATATTCACGTTTTAGCGTAAGTCTGTCTTTTACACAAAAAGGAATCTTGTTCGTGTTCCGAGAGCATTATAGATGCGAAGGACATATGATGAAAACATTCTAATGTCTTTTTAAAAGTGGAAATTTGAGTCATTTTTCCAAATTTGTCAACCGTGTCTTTCACGACATCACAAAAAATAAAGATAAAACAAAGCAATGAAGCATAGGTCTAAGATAAAAGAAGTTTCTAAGTTTCAGATGAAAAAAAAAGACATGGAATGCATGCACAGATAAGTAGGTATACAACACATTTAAGCTTGAGAAAAAGCTCGAAAAGTGACACTGTATTTGCCTTTTTCCCGCTTTCTTGTATCATAGTGAAAAGATATGTGTGTTTCTCAACTATTTATATTCAAACTCTATATATTTGACTTAAACAAAGGAATATTGTATTTCTATCGAATTTTTTCTTAATTAGCACTCCTTAGCACATGTCTTACAACAATATTTGGTAGTGTTCTTAATGAAAATATGCCTACATTAACTAATAATTACCTAAATGCCTGTTGCTCGTTTTAGAACAATAAATGTGTCAAAACCCTCGAAAAAGGATATATTAAAACATATTTAACTTCTTTAATTTTAAAATGTTTAAAATTCACTAATCTATTACACACTTTCTTTTGTTTATATAAAAGTTTTGTAAAAGTATAGTATGTGTGTGTGTAAAAGACATGCATAATATTTAATTTATAGAGGAATACTCATAATAAATAACGAATCAAAACAATTGTTAGATCCTCTTTTATATATGATTTTCCTAACGTTAAATAATTTTTTGTTGTGTAAATATTAAACAATATTTAAATAATTTTAGATATACTGTATAAAACAGATATTTTGTTTTATGGTTTTGCATAATGCCTAATATGCTTCCTATCGTAAAAGGTATCTAAAATTCTTTCAAACGTCTGCCTAAAAAGTAGTTTACCCTTTTTTTTTTTTTAAAAAAAATTGCAGTCTTCTTTTTAGATTAATCCCAAGATTCAACTCAATGAAAAGAAATTTGACGAGTTCCCTCGTTTCAAGCATATTTAATGAAGAAATTTTTGATTTCATAAGATAAATTTTAAAATGATACACGTACTGAAAGTATATTTTAAAATATAATAAGTAAGCAAATATTTTAAAGTAAAAAACACATAAATCAGAACATTGAAAGTATTTGGTTTTCTAGTTTCAAGACCGACAAACATAATCTCAAAAAATAAGATAAGGTTTCACAATTACATAAATATCTTTAAGAACTGAAATAGTTTTTAAATTACTTTTAACTACTTCAACATTACACAACAATTTTGTTATTTAATCTCCAACTGAACAACATGTTTCACAAGATAAGCTTCCTTACGCATTTCTAGACATTTGTAGTTTAGTTTTAAGTGGAATTTTGACACCCTTGATTAACTGAAATAGTTGTCAGGATGAATATTAAATATGACCGTGAGGATTCTTTTAAATTCTACACATATTGAGAATAACCTTAAATGGAAGAGTTAAAAAACTGAAGATGACCTAATTGATACCTTTTTAAACTTGCTTCCAAATTTCTAGGTCAATATTATTACCTAAGCGTTTTTCTCAGTAAAGAAGAGAGATTCGTTAAAAACACGTAGAAAATTTTTCTTCTAAAAACTTAATTAAAATTCCATTTAATCTCATAAGTATGTTGCAAATTTAAATAGATAGAACGTTTTTATGTGACAACTAGCCTTGTTTTTCTTGAAAATAATTGCTCTGGTTTACTGGAAATATTTTTGTGTTTAGCATATAAATAATCATTTTGTAAGATCCACTGCCTTTTCATAATTTATTTTACTCACCATCTTCCACAGTTTATTTTCGTCACTACCTTGACTTATTCTATATAGATCATATTATATAATCTATTTTAACTAACTAAATAATGAAATGTTTTTGATGAAATGAGTATATTTAATTTTTTTTTCATTTTTTTCCTTAATAACTAAGTTTTCCTTTCATATAGTGAAAAATGTCAGTTGAAAGTTTGAAAAAATAAGCATTTTGATTCTCTAACATTTTAAAATGATACTTTTTACTTTAAAAAAAATTTACAGATTTATAAGTGGTAAATTATTGGCATATTTCAATCAACTACAATATAAATAACATATTAAATATATCAGTTAATTAGTTTGTTTATTACTAATAGGCACGCTAATATATATAATATACTTATCCCTACTTATAGGTCTTTATTTCTCAGATGCTTCTTCTAATACAAATGAACAACATATAAATATGTAGAAAACAAAACAAAATTATATGAGTCTGCATATTTAGAGAAATTATGCATAGCTAATAAATTTTCATTGAATAATTTTGATGTTATTTTTAAACGAAGTATAAGAACAAATTACTTCTCCAGTACATAATGATTCCTGAAAAAGACAATAAGAAATTGCGTTTCTTAACACTTATAACTATTTTTTTTATTTTCTTCTTTTCGTTTATTAATTGTTAGCTGAAGAAATCGCTTTGTGTCAAAGCTAGACTCTTTCGATAGGCTTGTTCTGTTATTGATTTTTTATAAGACCGTAATAATTTGTCTTAATGACTTTTTTTTAAATAATTTGATACTATTTTCAGCCATCTATCTTGGGTTTTTGATTATATATAAATTTATATATATAATACTTTAATCTATAGGTAAGAAAATCTCATGGGACTTTTACTTCAATCTACTTAGAGCTTTCTTTACTGGAGAAAACAGACACGAAAAACGCCACAATTACTCACATGCAAACTTTATACTTCTCGTATAAAATTTTAGTTTAGATTTTTTTATCATCAAATTATTTATAAAGCTCCTAATTTTTCATGAGACAAAAATAATTACAATTTCCGATTCTTTTGTTTTTAAAAAATTATCTAAGCACATTTCCTTAAATTCCAAAACGTTTACTTCAGAATCTATAAAAGCGAATCTAAGAGATAAAAACATTCTCTAAGCAGATATATTTCTGTTTTCATATCTTCTAACATTCGAACCACGCGTAATGAGGGCGATTTCAGTTTCTTAGGCCTTTGCAGTAGTAGTAGTAGTACATCCACAACTCCCTGTAAGATTATCAGTAGGTGATGATCTCTTACAATGCGATGACCCTGGTGAGATCTCTGCAATTCAATAAACGTTTCAATTTATCGTTTTTCTTTTTGTTTACCTTGACACGAGATTCGTTCAAATCCCCCCTTTTTTTGCTGCTTTCTACTTCCTTCTCGTTTCGTTTTCTTTTTTTTTAAATCTTTTTTCCCCTTTCTTCCATCTTCAACTAACTTGAGGAAAACCACATCAATTTTTCAAAGAAGTATTAGTTTAAAAGATTACATCGGAAGGTGGTAATTTTAAAGGATGTTAGATAAAAATATGAACGGGACACTCGTTTTATACAGTTTTACCAGAAACACAAAGCATTTATATGCAATATGGGTAGTGAATTTTGTTGGAAATTGGATAATTTGTGGAAAGTAGTCATGCTTTAGTAATCGTTTGAGGAACAAAGGATTTACAAGTCATAAAATTTCTTAAATTGCTTGCGTACTGATTTGGATTGTGACTTAAAAACATCGTACTGAAATCTCTTAACTTTTAGAGAATTCGAAATGTGGAACAACAAAATTTACCAAGTTCCAAGAATTTTAATGAGTAAAAAAACCCCCGAAATTTATAGGAAAATACTTTTCAAGTGAAATAGCTTTACATAATGAATTTCCGTTTTCCATTTCATCTTTCAATTAAGTAAAGATACAAGTTTTACGGAAATGGATGAAAGTTGTGAAAATAAACGGATAATCTGAAGGAAACTTGCATTTTTAGCGTGGGTATCACGTTAACATCAAGAAGCTATTATATCAATGATGACATATATTCATTCACATAATTATTGGGTAGAGAATCACAGAAAATACATCCGGAAATGTGTATGTTAATTTGAGGTCATTAAGCTACGCCTAGAACTCGCTCAAACCGCCAGTTTGTCCTCGAGCATGAATGGATTATTTTATTTCATAAAGAAAGAAAAATCTTCCTATATTAGTTCTCTCAATTTTACCAATTAGAAATTCAATACATTTGCTTTGAGAGTTTGTACGGAATTATTCTGCCAGATTTTCTTCGCAATTTAAGCCTTGTTGAATCAAAATTTGATTTGTAATAGTTGATTCCTATCTTAGTATACATAAATAGCAACCTAAAACTCTTAGTATAACTGTTTTACAAGAAGAATTTTAGCATACTAAAAATAAAAGTTTGATTTTTATAAATATACATGCTCCTATGCTGTAATGTGCCTGCTTGTAG